TTGTCTTTGACAGTTATCTCCGCCGTGACTAGACCATTTTTCAATAACCACAAAACCATTTCGTCCTTGTCACAGTAGTAACCTTGCATTAAAATTTCATCAAATCTGAGCTGTACTTTCCAATTTATAGACGCATCAAGGATTAGGAGGCAGACCGACAGACCAACATAAAAGAGTTATGCAGATGTCATATAATGCCCAAGAAACATAATATCTCATTTTCAATTTTTTTGCCATTTCAATATCTCCCCGCCAGTAGTTTTAGTATTATTATTGCAAATAGCTAGTTTAGTAATTTGTGTTTTTCATATATATTATTAACGGGACTCCATCAAACTTTTTATTCATTCATTCATTTGTATTATTACATTTCGATAGATGTGAATCATATAACGATAAATCGATATAGAATTTTGAATGGCGTTACTTGCTTATTGTGTTTCTCTCAATAAAGCCTTACATTTGATCTCCGTAGTATAGGGGTCACTGGACATTACAAATCGCCATTTTGCTTGGAATGACGCCACGATGCTTGTTATGTTTCTCTCATAAAGCTCTTTTATTTGTTTGTATGATAGAGATGACTGGTAATTACAAACGCCATCCTGGGCAGAAGTGCCATATTGGTTTTAGAATGACGTCACTTTGCTTACTGTGTTTCTCTCTTCCTGCCCTTTCCTTTTGATACCCAAAATGTAATTCCAAGAGTTGTCCAACACATACAGGTACAAATACCAATCATCACGAAACGTACAGAATTCGATAATTCAGGCCCAAAAGCAGCGTTTATAGATTGCTAAACAGAACTTGAAAAACGAATTCACAGGCAGGTGGAGTCAACTTCTAAGTTATACTTACCTACTAACAAACAAGTCAAGTTAAATGAAAAAATCTTGTAAAAATTCACAGACATTTCCATGAATGAAATATTGCTAACGATATTGTATAAGGTCATGAGTATTCCCTATTAACGTATAAAGAAATAACCCTTTAAAATGAATAAATAAGCTATTTCCGAAGTAAGCTTAATAAGATATGTTATTTTATAAGAATTATTGCTAATATTTGGATAAACAAACCTTGAAAGTTACGTAAATTTTTAATCTAGATTGAGGTATGGAATTATGTTATTCAGAAACGGTACTGACTTTTCTAATACCAAAGAGCCCTTTAAGAACTATTTTGAGTTTGAAGGGCTAATGAATCATGTAGCAAGATTAAGCAATTAGGTATTTTTACAGTGTTTGGGGTTATACAGGGTTATCCAAATTAAGTGTCCACCCCTGTATATTATATTTTTTTCTGTTAAAGCATCAAATTTTAAACAAAAAAGTTCATAATGACTTTTCCGCTAAAGTCAAAATAACGATAAATATTTTTAATTATTTGCAGTATTATAATATTAAGACGGCTATGAAAACAACATGGCGTTCGCGATTTGACAGCATTAAGATAAGCGACAAATTGTTAAACTGGACATACTCGCAAGTAGAAGGCTTTGGAAAACAATGATAAAATCAAATAATGTCAAACATTAGTGTAAATACTTATTTATAAGCTTTATTGTGTCATTAATTTAAAGAAAAATGTTCTCCCATGAAGAAAAGTGTGATATGTTAGAATGCTATTTAGTGTGCAGAAAATCCTCCTTGAGAGCAAGAGAATACTACAGTGAATTATATCCCGCTCGCATTCAACCGTATGAACGATATTTTCTGAGACTTTATCGAAAATTTAGGGGCAACGAAAATGTTTTTGCTAAAACAAGGGCAAAAAAAGAATTCATAATAAGCGAGGCCACGGAAATTGCAGTTATTGGATATTTTGAAGCTTATCGTGAGAATTCAATAGCAGATATTCTCAAGGACTCTAATTTCAGTTATGGTACTGTTCAAAGGATTTTAAAAAAATACAAATTTATTCCGTATAAGTACCGACCAGTTCAAACGCTTTTGGCAGGGGATCCAGAGAGAAGACTTGTTTTTTGCCATTGGTATCTTAGCTTCTGTCGCCAAAATGTAAATAACTTTCGTTACCTTTTATGGACAGATGAATCAAATTTTTCAAATTCTGGAATGTTTAATAGAAAAAACCACCATTATTGGTCAAGAGAAAATCTTTTGTTAGTACATCCAAGAGGCCCACAAGTCCGTTTCAGTTTCAACGTTTGGTGCGGTATAATTGGTTCAAAAATTGTTGGCCCGTTCTTTTATGAGGGAACCCTAACTGGTGAAAGATATGTGGAATTTATGTCAGAAATTCTGACTAATTTCTTAGACGAATTGGATCTTATAAGTAGACATCATCTGCATTTTCAGCAAGATGGCGCACCTGCCCACAACTCCAGAGGTACTTATCATTTTCTAAGTACTACTTTTAATGATCAGTGGATAGGAACAAATGGCCCAATACAGTGGCCTCCCAGATCACCAGATCTAAACCCACTTGATTACTTCTTGTGGGGTTACTTAAAGAACCAAATTTACAAGCGAAGGTACGATAACCTTGACGCGTTAAAGACTGCAGTTAGGGAAAAGATAACCCAGATAGATGGTAGGACCATACTTAAGACAGTTCGAGCAGTTGAAAAACGTGCCCAAAAATGTATTGAAGAACAAGGTGGTGTTTTCGAGCATCTTCTTTAAAAAAAATTGTTATTGTATTTTGTAAGATTATAAGTTGATGTTGAAAATAAAGTTTGTCGATACAATTTAATTGTTTCAGATTGGAGGCCATAACTTCAACAATTTGTAACCTAGGAGAAAAGTTATTGTAAGCTTTTTTGTTTAAAATTTGATGCTTTAACAGAAAAAAATATAATATACAGGGGTTTCCATTTAAAAAAATGTTATTTTACTGAAAAAAATCAAAATAACGACTCTCAATTGTTTTTTTTTATTTCTCATTTTTACCAGCGTTAAAAATGCTACTAGTTTGCTAATTCAAACAACTTTGTATTTTCACTAATAACAAAGTTACTAATGGTGGACACTTAATTTGGATAACCCTGTATATTCAAGAGAGTCACATATACCTATTTACAAAATGAGCGATTCTTCACAGCTGATGAGCCTACAGGTAACCATACTGCAGTTCTTAAGTATGCTTATCCTAGGTATAGAATAGCGTTATTTGTGAAAGGATCTCGTTGTCTTTTTAACCATTGACCAGCAGTTGTGAAAAAGATCGTAAAACTAAGTGCTTTGAAAAACATTACACAAAGTATTACTGAATCCAGAACCACATTCAATGGATCCACCTTATCAAGACAAATTGAATAATAATAAGTTTTTTCAAGTATAAAGTATTACAGTTTATGGAAAAGAAATATGCCTATATATACGCCAATAATCCCACAGAAGAATTTATTCTTGTGCGTGGGAAAACATTTCTCATAACAATTTTTGCTTTGAACATAGTTAAATGTAGTTAATACATAAATTTGAACATAACATAACCTTAAAGGTAAGTGTAATAACATTATATTTAAAAACTAATTTATTTTCATTTGAGTGAGTTTTGCTATTCCACGTCGATTATTATTTAACAAGAATCTTTTTTATCTCAATTTTGAATCTATTTTCATTTGAAATGGATTTTATACGAGGGATGTCTTTTAAGTTTTCAATATGGAAATAAAACAACACGGTAGGTAGTTTTAAATGGCTTTACTGTTTTTCGAAGTATTCTCCACGAAGATCAATAAACATCTGCAAGAGCTCGAACCAATTTTCGAAGCACTTATTCCACTCGTTTGCTGGCAGATCCAAAACGGCATTTTTGAATGCGTCAACTGCTTCTTCTGGTGACTGGAACCTTTCACCACGCAGTCTGTTTTTAATTTTCGGGAAAGTAAAGAAATCGTTAGGACTTAGATCGGGACTATATGGACGATGGTCCAATAACAATGCTGTACACATTTTTTGAGTTTCCGGAATTGAAACGGTCAAGCGTTTTTTTGACACGAATTAACCCTGGCTGCTTTCTGCTCTTCAGTCAACAGGTGGGGTATCCAACGAGAAACTAATTTTCTTGCTCCTTATTCTTCATGTAAAATTTTTTGAATTGAGGTCTTTGAGATCTTCAAGGACGCCTCAATCTCGCGATATGTCACATGTCTATCTTCAATGATGAGTTTGCGCACAGCATCGACGTTTTCCTGGCTGACTGCCGTTTTTGGTGCACCCACCCTGGGATCGTCGCTAAGACTCACCCGTTCACGTTTGAATTCTCCATACCAACGGGAAATAGTCGACTGATGTGGCGCTTCGTTGTCGAAAACAGACAGTAACTCAGCAAGGCATTCTTGTTGCGATAATTGTCTCTGAAGGTTGTAATAAATTATGGCGAGAAAATGTTCTCGGTTGAGTTCCATTTTTCTAATGACTTGGTGACACTTAAAAATTCACTGTAGTGAGAACACTAAAGAGTGAGGTTAAGATTCAGTACTGACGTTCGATCCGCGCGGCCTACTATGTTTCTATATACAAAACACAAAAGACATCCCTCGTATGGCTTGGTGGATAGTTATAAATTCTAGTGGAGATGTAAATGAAGCATAATGATATGCTGTGTATAAAGCAGAATTTTGTAAATTTTGTTGATGCTGTAGCATGGTAAGATCATATTGTCTAATATACTGTTATTAGAGACTTGTTAGGTATTGCTAGTAATATAATTCACCGGAAATGCTGCGCTAGGCAGAGAGGTGACCGAGGTACCTTGCAGTACCTATCAATATAGCTTTTTAGAGAGAATAAAGTTAATCATCCTGAAATCAAGTTGTGTAACTAATTAAGCAGAAGCCCAAAATAGATGAATCTATTACAATACCATTTGTCTCTATTTGCAAATAAAGGCTATTGTTATTGTTATTGATACCCTATCCCTTATTCCTCCAGAAAGCTGGCAGCAGCGTCGCCTACTTGTTACGCCGTCGGCGGCGGCGTCGCGCGTCGGGCGTCGGACGGCTCGTGTTCCGGGCGTTATCGCAGCAGGCAGGAGCATACCAGCTCGGCAACGGTAACAACGACTGACGGGCAGCGCCGAGCACCGTCGCGACCACCGCGACATTGACGCAACCACCACCAGCAGCAGGTGTCCTAGCGTCCACATCCGGGACACCGCTCTATCCGCTCCGTGTTCGCGCGATATGGTTCCGGGATATCGCCGTAGATACGTTATGAGAAAATCGTCGGGATCATGGTGGACGGGAAGTCAGCTGGAAGTCGACAGCTACAGGTACGCATCCCCACCCCCGTGCTCGATGGTTTATTTATTTTACTTTTGATTTATTTTAGAACCCATACCCTGTCTGAACTGATAACTTCAATTAACAGGCAGGAAAAACGAATTTCAATAAAAAAACTGTAGGAAAAAGTCAAAAGTATATCTCACCCAACAGATAAAAAACATCTAAGATTGTTTTCGGTGGAACTGAAAACATCAAGTTCACTAACACCTTCACAAACATTGCTTCATAATTTCCTATACCACAATACACATTCCCAAATAAGTACTTCTCAGCATGGCGTTATGAAGGGTAGATCAACCATAACTAACCTAGCCTGTTTTACTGTCAGTCTCCTCTGCATTAGATGCTAATAGCTAGGTGGATGTGATTTATACAGATTTTAGTGAAGCATTTGACAAACTTGATCACAGTATTCTGTTAACGAAGCTGAGCTATTTTGGATTCTCCCCCAAGCTGTTATCCTTTCTTAAGTCAGATCTGTCAGGAAGAAAGCAATATGTTGAATATGAGAGTGTCAAATCCATTGAATTCTTCCCAACCTCAGGGGTACCTCAAGGCTCCTGCTTAGGTCCTTTGCTTTTCATACTGTTCATAAACGATATTGTTAGCGGCATCGACAGCAGCCACTTAATCTATGCTGATGATCTGAAATTTTTTTCCAATGTCGACTGTGCTCACTTACAAAAAGAAATAGCCAAAATAGTTAAATGGTGTGCTGTAAATCGACTTCCAATTAACTACAGTAAATGTAGTGTTATGTCTTACACCAGAAAGCTAGATATTATTGCATTTGACTACAGAATTGGCAATCATTCTCTGCTGAGAGTACAAGAATGCAAGGACCTGGGTGTGATTTTTGACATGTCACTTAGCGTCAATCCTCATATTGAGTACCTTATTAATGCTGTCAACAGATTCACTGGACAACAAATTTTAGTTTTTTAATTGTATCTTGTGGGAAAAGTGTACTTCTTTATTAATTTTGGGGCGCTGAATCCAAAAATGACAATGAAATAAAAAAATTAGTTGCGGTTTAGAAAAAAAACTTTTTATTTTTAAGGATATATTAAAAAAAGTAACAAGATGTATATACTTATAAGAATCACTACATGCGCTGTTTTTTTGCTGTTCTTTTATGGATCGTTTCTGGAGCATCTCTACCAAGAGTCCAACAGTAGTCTGCAAGCATGGAAGGATTCCACTTTCCCTGGCACCTTTTTTCCATTGTTGAAATATCCTGATGAAAACGTTCGCCCTGCTCATCGCTCACGGCTCCGCAATTGTTAGGAAAAAAGTCCAGGTGTGAGTGTAGGAAATGTATCTTAAGAGACATATTACAGCCCATCTTTTGATACGATGACAACACATTTTTGACAAGGGTTTTATAGTTGTCAGCTAATTCTATTTCCCAAGAAATTAGTGACCACCAGACGGAAATCATTTCAAGCAGTTTTTTCAATACCTGTTAAAGTGTTTTCAAACTGTGTATCTTTCAAAATATTTCGAATCTGTGGCCCAACAAAAATACCTTCTTTAACCTTTGCCTCACTTAGTCTTGGAAATTTCTGATGCAGGTATTGAAAAGCTGACCCATCTCTATCTAATGCCTTGACAAAGTTTTTCATTAGGCCCAACTTGATATGCAGTGGTGGTAATAAATTTTTTTTCGAATCTACTAATGGCATATGCTGTACATTTTTTTGACCTGGCTCTAGGAATTGACGAACAGGCCAGTTTTGTCTGGTGTAATGAAGTGCCTTTGCCCGACTGTCCCATTCACACAAAAAACAGCAAAACTTTGTGTAGCCTAGCTGCAGCCCAAGTAAAAGTGCAACAACTTTCAAATCGCCACAAATATGCCATTGGTGCTCATCGTATTTTATGCATGTCAATAGGTACTTCATATTGTCATATGATTCTTTCATGTGAACTGCATACCCTACAGGAAGAGATGGTAAAATATTTCCAATATGCAATAACACTGCCTTTAAACTCAATGTTGAACTGTCTATAAACAATCTCCATTCTTCTGGGTTATAGTTTATATTTAAAGCCGCCAGTAAGCCGTTAATGTTACTGCAGAAAACCAAGTTATTCTCCATATTGAAAAATGGTTCTAAGTCTTTGTGGCGTTTACGAAAAGCACATACCGAAACATCGTCTTCTAACAAGTTCCACTGCCGCAGTCTTGATCCAAGTAACTCTGCCTTACATTTTGGAAGTTCTAAATCTCTTACAAGATCATTTAATTCTGCCTGTGTTATTTTGTGCGGTTGGTGGCATGACGTGCTCGGTATAAAATCAGGATCTCTTGACGTTGATGGCATATCTTCTTCCTATATAAAAAGGCATAACGAGAGTACTAAGCAAAAAATATACAGGAGGAGAGTAAATAAGTAAATAGAGCTGACCTTTTATTTCAACCAGAACTGCCATTCCAATTTCACTGAAAATCTTGACCCAGTTTCAACGCCGTTTGAGGAATTGGTATACATCCAAACAAAATCTTAATGTAATTTATCAAATAACGGTCTCTAATATCTTATATAGCCAATAATCAAAACTATAGCAGTCGTTATATGAACCACTTGACAATTTTTGGCTAACGATGCAATCTGGATCCAAAATATACTAAGTGACATATAAATCCGAACACTCAGTTTAAATGGTTTTATTTTAATAAAAGTTGGTGAATGTATTTATCTTACTGTAAATAACAAGTAAAAAAATTTTCAGCCTTATCAGTTGGACATTCCGGTTTTTATACTGCTTTTTTTTAATTCACTAACGCTCTATAAATGAATATTTCAGCCGCAGAAAAGAATCAACGTTGGCGGATTTTGCTTCTTGACATCCTTTACGATCGGTCACGATGCCTAGAATACGGAGACCTGTACGATTTCGTCAACTTAGTGAGTTTGATAGGGGACGTATAGTGGGACTTCGGGAAGCTGGACTTTCTTTTCGGGCAATTGCAGTTAGAGTGCAAAGAAGTGTAGACACTGTGGTTAGGTGTTGACAGGCATGGCTTCGAGAAGGCCGTACGCAAAGAGCAAGGGGCACTGGACGCCGCCGTTGAACAACAGACCGTGAAGATCGCCGCCTAAGATTATTGGCCTTAAGGGATCGTTTCTCCACTACCAGGTCCATTGCAAATGAATGGATTGCAGAACACGGAAGACCTATTGGCATGCAAAGTGTTTACCGACGAATGAGAAGTTTTGGCTTGTTTTCATACCGGCCACACTGGGCCCTCCCGAGAACACCGACGTAATCGCCTTGAGTGGTGCAGACAACGGTCACTCTGGGATCAGGAATGGAACAGTATTGTCTTTAGTGACGAGTCTGGATTTTGTTTAGGCATGCACGATGGTCGTGCCAGGGTTAGAAGGCGACGTGGTGAAAGCAGGAATCCACAGTTTTTTGTTGAAAGACATGTTCATCACACTGTTATGGTTATGGGGTGCTATAGCTTATGGTTCCAGGTCACCTTTAATCTTCATCAGAGGTAACATGAACGCGCAGCGTTATATCCACGAAGTTCTAGAACCCCATCTTTTACCCTATCTTGACACCCTGGCAGATCCAACTTTCCAACAAGATAATGCCCGACCACATGTTGCAAGAGTCACAATAGACTTCTTTCAACATAATGATGTCACATTGTTACCATGGCCAGAAGCATGCATAGGCGTGTTGGAGAATGCGTAGCACATCAGGGTGCATCCACACATTATTCTTAAAGGTCAAAGGGCTTTAAAGCAGTGCAATCATTTTGAAATTTTTATCTTTTACTTATTATGCTTCATTAAGTACTTATACAAAATTTTATTAAAATAAAACCATTTAAACTGGGTGTTCCGATTTATATGTCACTTAGTATATCTTATATAGCCAATAATCAAACCTATAGCAGTCGTTATATGAACCACTCGACAATTTTTGGCTAACGATGCATCTGGATCCAAAATTCTTCGACATTTCTCAAGCATAAGTTTCTTGTTATAAGGTATGAGACATTCTTGTTTATAGTCCAAGGACATAATCAGACTATGCCTGTAGCAAATGTACCATTTAGGCCAAACAGGAGGTGAATTAAATAACTTGAACGTTGTACAACTATCAGGCAATCATCAAATTAAGTTATAAAAAATCTAAACGAGAGTTTTAAACAAAGAAGATACGTACATGGGGAGAGTAAACAGAGCTTCCCGTTTATTTCAAGCAAAACTGACGTTCCAATTCCACTGAAAATCTTGACCCAGTTTCAGCATACTCAAGGAAAGATATAGTCGATATCCGGACCTAAAGATGGAACACAAGAATTACTCTAGATGTTCCCTATAGTTATTTTTTATTCCATTTTGTTTCGCGTAAGGACAACTTTGTTGAGATCATGGTGGACGGATACATAATGTCAGCTAAAAATGAGAAGCTACGTACACAACATCCCCATACTCCGTGGTTTTTAGTTGCCATGCAACCTCAAATTGTAACAAAAACTCGTTTCATTCGTCTGGGCACATAAGTACATCTGTTTTGAGTTTTTTGGCAACTCATCATCATGGCCCAGGCTTGGTCTCATGCTAGGTCCTAGGTAGACAGTAATAAGTGTAATCTAGTTCCAGAATCTACCACTGGAAGGGTGAAACACAAAAATGGAGAGGGCACATTTGCTTAGAAATTAGAATTTTAGCTACTACTCACTGATGTATCCAGCAAAACTTTATGGAAGGTACACAGATTTTACAAAAGGTATATAGCCATCATAGAAAAGGTCCTACGAAAATCTGACGACAACCCGATTTATGACAAAATACTAAGGTTTTCAAAACGGGTAGAGGAAAGGTTATTAGTGATAAAATTCGGTAACTGATAATTAAACTTTTTAATTCTGGGAAATCAAACTCAGAAATTGCAACTTTGTTAGACTTATCGCGGTGCAGTGTGAGAAATATTGTTAGAAGATATAACGTAACTGGTTCAG